TCCCTTGGGCCGTCTCCCAGCCAGCTCCTCACCCCCAGCACCCCCAGGTCCTCTGCAGGGCTGCTCTCCAGTCCTGCACCCCCAGCCTGGGCTGGTACCAGGGATTGCCCAACTTGGATGCAGGACTAGAGGTTCACACAGACCCACTCCTCAAGCTTGTCCATGTCCCCTCTGGATAGATCCTGTCCCTCGGGTGTAGATTTCTCATTTCCGCATCTGCCCTTAAAAGCATGAGGGCTGAGCCTGCCTGCCGTGGGGTGGCCATGCTCTGCAGCCAACAGGAGATGGGGCTGGGCACAAAATAACTCAAACTGCACCCAAAGGGACCAGCGGGGTCTGAAACCCAAACTGCTGCAAAGCTCTTGCACTGGGTTTTATGTTCCTGTAGAACGTTCCCCAAATGTGCCCTGTGAAGCAGCCACATTAATGTCACCTGGACAGAGTAACACCCACCAGAACTGCCACAGGTTTCACTGCCTGGAAGAGTGTATGAAGGAAAAACAGAGTAGAGCTGTTGGAGTCACATCTCACCTTTGCCTCCTGCTCCGTTCAGCTCCGTGTTGGCTGAGCCACGGCTGCTGTCGTGTTTTCAGCACCTTCTCCACACAGAGTTCAAAGAACTCTTCAAGAACAGGAAAAGAGTGATTGGAACTGCAAACAGCACGCTTGGAAGATGGTAAGGGAAGTTTACTTACAAAGTTTTCACATGGCCACATACAGAGTTAGAAATAACATGCTATGGCTGCGCCAAGGGAAGTGCTGCCTTAGGAACAGCCCAGCCAGAGGTTTTTCCACAGAAAGGGGAAGTTGTGCTTTAAGTAACAGCCTGCAGAAAACCCAGCAGCAGTTTGCTCACAGCTTTTTTTTTCCAATAGCAAGGACACATCCAAGGGATCATGACTCATTTTGAAACAGCAAGCACCCAGATACATCTCAGCACAACAAAGACATGGACTTGTTGGAGCAGGTCTGGAGGAGGCCACAGAAATGATCAGAGGCTGGAGCACCTCTGCTGTGAGGACAGGTTGAGAGGGTTAGGGTTGTTCAGCTTGGAGAAGAGAAGGCTCCAGGGAGAACTTCTTGCAGCCTTTCAGTACTTAAAGGGGGGCTGTATGAAAGATGGGGAGAATCTTTTCAACAGGGCCTCCTCACTGCAGGGAGGTTGGCCTAGCTGACCTCTGAAGGTCCCTTTTAACCCAGCCCATTCTGTGAGATGGGAAGGTGTCTGTTTGGCACCACTCTGAGGGCATGAGAAGGGAAGTGGCTTCTCATCCGGATCCCTGATGCAGCAGGGTCAGGCCAGCCTCCAGAGAGCATGGAGCTGCCTGGCACCTGGTGAGCCTCGTGGTGGCATAGACCTTGCTTGGCTCTGGAAAGGAGATTGCTGAAGCACCAGCTGGGACCTTCATGTCTTACTTGAGGCAGGAGGAACCCAGACCTACTGCCCTACTTGGCTTCTCCTCCTGCAGGGAGTGTTTCTGAAGCTTGCACAGGTGGCAGGAGCAAATCCACACAGGAACAGGAACAAATCCACACAGGAACACAGTACAAGAAGGTGGATCTGCTTTTTTACCCCCTAATCTTTGGCAGCAGGGGCTCAGGGCTGTCCCTGCTGCCAGCCCAGCCCATGCTGGGTCCTCACCATGCTGTGCCATGGGCCAGGTGTTCCATGGGTTTGCTGCACAATTAGTGGCAACATTTTTTTCTTGGCCAACTTGACATCTCTGAAAGAACTCCCTGCGTCAGTGTGAAACCCCCCGGGGAGAAATGGTGAAGGAGGAAGAGAAAGCAGAGAGCCAGGCAGGTCCTGGGGCTGGCTGGAGGGACAGGCTCTGCTGGTGGAGCAGCGTGGGGGGGTTCCATGTGGAAATGTGGGTTTGGTCACCAAACGGGGGTCTCCACGGGGTCTGTGGGCTGTGAGAGGGAGGCTGGGCAGTGACGGATGGCTTCACGTGAATGCCCGAGGGGTTATTCCACTTCCCTGCCTGAAATAATTGCTCTTGTTTGGGTTGGGGCCCGCAGGGAGCGGGCAGGTCTGAGCTAAGTCCTGACACCGCTCCACGCTCCAGATGGTGTCTTTTTCCCCAAAAAAAGGCAGCTGGTGTTCCAGCCTCTGGCAATGGTGCTCATCAAGTTTTTCATGACAGGGTGGCGATGAGCCTGTGCTGGGTCCGGGTGCCAGCCTCAGGCTGTGGAAGAAAGAGAGGGGGGGTCAGGCTGAAGGCTGCTCTGTGAGTGCCTCTGCATCTTCCCGGGAAAACCAGGTTAAACGCCACAGCCCGGTGCAGAAAGGGGTGGGGGAGGGCAGGGGAAGTACTGAACAAGTTGGACTCAATGATCTTAAAGTCTTTTTCCAACAAAACAACTCTATGACCCTAAGCTAGCCGAAATGTCTGTCCAGTGCCAGGGCTGATTCAGAGCTGCAGCCCCCAGCTGGGCTTGGGGCTGGGGCACACGGGGCTCAGTCTGCCCCCCGGGCGGGCAGGAGTCTCCCCCCACACCCCACTTATCGCCTGCCTTTGTGGTTTGCAGTCCATGAGATCGCTGGAGGTTTCTCTCACCGAGTTCCTGTTCAGATTTTCCTTAGTTCCCCTTGGGGCTGAGGCTGCTCACAGATGTGCCTGGAGCGTGGCCCTGGGGCAGGGGGCTTGCAGCCCCTGTGTGCCCCCAAACCCCTCCGTGCCCGCTGTGGGCTGAGAGATGAAAAATCTGTGGAAAGGTTTTATGTGCTTTTTCTTGTCTTGTCTTTCTTTTTCCCTTTCCCCCCCCCCCTTCTTTATTTATACACCCTGGTTGGTTTCTAAATGAAGCATCACCTAAAACACAGTGACAAAAAATCTCAAAATAGGCTCTGGGGAGGAACGCAGGTGGGGGCAGGAGCCAAGGATGGAGGTAACCTGGGGTGAGGCTGATGGGCACCCTTGGGCAGGGGTCTGGGCACCCTCTGGGTGGCCTGGGGCTTTCCTAGCTGGGTGACATCAGCCTGGGGATGGGACCAGGCTCCAAGGACCAAAGTCCTTCCCCTGTGCAGGGGCTGAGATTTCCCACCTGCGGAGCTGGAGCGTTGTCCTGCCAGCTCCTGCTTCTCCTCCAGAAACAGCATCTGCCAGGACACCCTGCCCCATTCCCTGGAAATGCTTCTAGATCATTCCTTAAGGGTAGTTCTGGGACTGACCCAGGAGAAGGGATGGACTTGCTGAAGAAACGTTCTTGCCCCAGCTGTGCCACTTTGCCGTGTATGGTGAGGTTTGCCTGGTAACCAGTGATGCCAGGGCCAAGGGCTTTTAGTTTCACACTCGGAGTTTCACTTTTGGCTGAGCCCTGGCCAAGGCTGCTCTGGGTCCTGATTCTGGAGCCAGCTTGGTGCTGGGCCAGCCAAGGCCCATGGTGTAGAGCTGGCATTGGGGATGTGTTACCCACCGAGCTGCTCCAGCTCCTTGGGGAAAATCCCCTCAACCCAGCACTGTGAGGGAGGGTGGCTGCTCTCGCCTCTGTGGCGTTAGTGGGGCTGCCCCACGCTGCCCCACTCCCACCACTGCTTTGGGGGTCACTCCCCTTGAGGAGCTGCTTCTCCTTTCTGGGGTTTGGGGGTTCAGCCCCCTGCAGCAAGCAGGGTGAGGGGGTGCCACAAGAGGGAGGGGTGCTTGAAAACACTTGTTGATCTTTTAATCGTTGCCCTCTCAGCCTGAGAGGTGCTGGCCGAGCACCCCCACCCGTGGGAGGTCCAAAGTGACCCTCAGGGGGTGGGGCAAAGTGCAGCTTTCCCCTGGCAATGAAGGTGAGCGAGGAGGGGGGTACCCTGGTGGCATGTCCCCACGGAGGGTCCTGCTCAGCCTTAGGTGTGGGGAGCCCTCCCTTCTGCACGCCAACAGGGCATCCCTACTGGGCATCCCATGTCCTTCCTCACACACTGCCTCCCCCATCCCACGTCCCACCTCTGACCTCCTGCCCCCCATACCCCACCTCCT